ATTCTGGCCAGCGTTGTGGTTGATCCGGAGCCTATCCTTGGAAAACTGGGTGGGAATACACCATGTGTGGGACGCTAGTATATCACTGGGTACCATTCACACAAACATTCCCACACTTATTAACACATCTGGACAGTTTAGAGTAACCAATCCCCCTACCAGCAGGTTTTTTTTTTTGGGAGGCAGCAGTTTGTTAAATTGTTGTATGATAGGAGAGAGCTGGTGTATTGAAACTAGCAGGTGACCAAATTGGGAAGGAAAATGGAGAAAAATCCCCCACAATTCCCGCTGTGCCATTGTTCTTCCCAGGCTAATTTTAACTGAAGGTAAATTTCTGATAAACATGCTTTTGGATAGGAGATTTCTGCATACTCTGCCTGGGTTAGCAGTTAGTAGTAGGCTTATGCACTGAAGATTTCATACTGAACATTTCATGTAACACAGAGGATTTTACTTACTGCTGTATTGTTTTTCCACTCTGGTGGAGTAAGAAAAAAGGTATGACTAACCTTACATGACAAACCCTAGCCCTTACACTAACCATAACCAACTTTACATACTTTGTATACAACTTGGCTTAAGAAAAAGAAAGAAAGACACCATTTAGTATACATATTATAAATACAGTATACATGTGTACAGTACAATGAAATTCTTTGCTTTGCATAGCCAGGCTTGGAAGGAGCTTGGGGCAGAGCACCAGGTCAGTCATGGTACAGTACTCCTGGAGCAGAGAAAGATAAAGGCTTTGCTCAAGGGCCCAACACTGGTAGCTTGGTGGTCCTGGGATTTGAATATATAACCTTCCAGTCAGTAGCTCAGAGCCTTAACCACTGAGCAGCACTGTCCCTTCACTTGTACGAAACTGTACAAATTCTAATGATAGTGCGACTATGTTGGATTTCCACATGCAGAACCGGAGACACTACACTTATTAACAAGATACTTAACTATTAGTGAGTGTTTCTCTTTTTCTTTTCACTGTTTCCTCCTAGCATGTATGCACAGCAAGTAGCCTGTTCTCTCTTAGAGTCTCTCTGTGGCTGAGCACATATCTCTGAGTGAGCACTGCAGTGGAGCTGCCTCGCATCTGGCACAGTTGCACAGTATCCTGGGATTTGAGGCTTTTTGCCCAGTAAGATGGGCAGTATCTCACAGCCATCACTCACCTGCTGTTACTTTTATTTGTTTTGTTGTGTTGGACTTAAGTGTTGCACTTTTATGTGTCTGGCACCCCAGTGCAATTCCGGTTGTCTGAGTTTCACATATAACTTTTATTTCTGTGAACTTTTATTTATATTTTATATTTATATTTCTCCTAGCCAAAGCTGTTATAATTTCTGTGAAATGACAGCAATCATAATGCATAATGCATAGAGGGCCATACTAATTGTAAAGATTTAGACAATTAGCAAAGGAATATACATTTAAATAAAATACATGGTGCCCTGACAGTTAATAAAATGAGCTAATGGTGAGCAAATAATGCATTCGAATTCATTCTATTCCACTAAAACACAAATTTTGTTAGCTGTAAATAAATATATTTATAAAAAACTAAATTTAATCCCTTTTTAACAAAAAAAAAAAAAATGATGTCATGGTGTGTGACCAATTTCTTTTAAAAACTTATCTCTCCATTAATTACATATCTACCCTTGTCATAAGTAAGAGCATGAAAAAAATTAAAGTCGGTTATATAAATGGCTATACTATATGGTCCCATTTGATTTTTTTAAAGAATGTTTTCATGAGGTTATATGAGGTCCTTATTGTTTTTTCTTCACCTTGAGGCTGCTGCTATGGCTGGCCTTGGTTTTAAAAGAAAGCCATCACGTACTCTCATTCAAGATAAACAGCAGAGTGTGGTGTGAAGGATGATGGAAATGATTCGTTAGTCATTCATATTCGAATTCGGCCTAGCGTTTTCAGTCGAACTACATACAGGTTTAAATTCTGCTTTCTTTATCTTGCAAGTTGTGAGGGAAGCAAGAAAAACAAACATGGAGGACAATGCCAGTGAAAATTATGCTGCATTTGACTTAAAGAATCCCAATATAAATATGAACAAGAAGTAGGTGTTCATAAGCATAAACAAAGACAGGATACATTGGCAAGGGGAAAAAACATTTTATAACTATTCAGACACTATATTGAAAATCTATGTAAAGGTTACATAAAAATAAATCATGTTCTAGATTTAAATGCTGCAAAAAATATTCTTGGGCAAATTGCACCAGGTGTCATTGTGTAAAAGACGTTGTCATTAGTTGGGAAGATTTCACATAACGTAGCAATCATGGCAAAGGTGAATGAGCTTCCCAAAGTTCTCAGGAGCAACATTATTAAACAAAACTTGAATGGAAAAAGCTACAGAGCCATAGCAAAGACCTTAAACACCCCTGTCAGTACATACAGGTTTGATAATATACAGGTGCAAAGCTCATGGAACCAGAAGTAATCATCCCGTGCGCTAGCACGTATAGCGTGCATAGGTGCGCTATGCAAGGTTTTAAAACGCATTCTCAGATTACCGGTAAGGAAGGTAAGAAAGAAGCCAGCGGTCACTTGAAAATAGTTGCAGGATGACCTGAAAGTAGCAGGAGCAACAGTTACAGAGAGAACAATAAGCAGCCACCTTCACCACAATCCTGCAAACTCTAAAATTTGCACACAAGGATTTAGGCAAATCAGAACTCTTTCAGAGCAAAAGCTAAAACAAAATAGAAATCATTGGCGCTAATTCAGCTTCAGCACTGCTTCTCATCAAACAGTACTGGGACATTTTATATCATTGAAGGAAACGTGAATGGAGTGATGCACTGGGACATACTAGTGGAGAAATCGATCTCATCAACCAAGAAATTGAATCTGGGGAGAAGATGGCTTTCGACAATGACCCCAAACATAAAGCCAAATAACCCAAGCTTGGGTTTGAAAAAGGAAAGTGAAGGTGCTTACAGGATTTTGAAATTGGGCGTACAACAGGGAGTACATCATTACATGGTAAAACCAACATAAATGCAGTAAGCGGTAATGCTAACGTTAACTACATCAATACAACGTGAAAGTATAACTTCATTTTACAGGACACGTTCACATTGTCAAGAAGATAGTATGCAGTAAAATGAATGCTACCACCTGGAAGCACAAATTATGCACAAACAGCAGGGCACAGCAAATCACTGGAGTATTGCAATAAGGTCTAAATGGAAAATTGGCCACACGCTCAATCAAATGATAGAAATGATAAATTGTTTAGTCACCCAGTGAGCATACTTGTCCTGTTGCTTCTTTTGAACAGGTGTTGTGTCCTAGTTTGCCTCCCCGGCGGCGAAGCAAATGGATAGAAGTGGATATGATATTTGAACTGTTCATATACGTAATTGATGAATGGAACATTGTACACAGTTCAATTTATTCAACAACATAGGCTTTCAGCAACTAGATCCGAGGCAATGATATACTGTGTAATAAGTATGATTTTCTGTAATGATTTTTCACATTTATTCTCAAGACTCAATCTGTAATAAACAAACAAACAAACAAACAAACTAACAAATAAATAAATAAATAAATGCATTTTCTGACACGCAGTTTTAGAAACAATTCAAACAAGGTGTCAATTTGATCCAAACAGAACGGATTAATAAAGCCTAATAAAGGGTTAATAAAGCTAATGTCCTATAGTTAGTCTCCTTTTCCCTTTTCCTTTTCTCTTTTTAATTCCTCTCGGAAATCGACCACTAGCATTATTTTTTGCCCTCTGTGGCCATCCTCATTAAACCACCTCTTGACTGAGGTGAGAGAGGTGAGCCTCTGCCAAGCTTGGATGTTCAAAGCAATTCTCCACACTAAAAAGGACCGTGCCCTCTGCCTCCGCAGTCAAGGCCCTATCAGAGCACTTCCATGCCATCCACCCACACCACCCAGAGACTGCCAAATGTAATAACCTGCCTAGATTTGGGCATTGTGTCCTCTTCTCCAGGCACTGGCAGCATCTGACATCAACAGGATGTGAATGTAAAATAGATCATTAACTCTAACAATGAATTAGCCACGTTATTCTCTCATGTGACCACGCTGTGTGTGGTCCTAGCAGTGGTGCAATTACAGCCTTGCATTTCAGCCATGACAGAGATACTTCACACCAATCTGGTATCAACTGTGCTCCAACAAGAATTAGAATTTTGTGTATTGGTCCAAAAAAGTAAACTTTATTATTATTATTATTATTATTATTATTAGTAGTAGTAGTAGTAGTATTGTAACCCTAGGATATAAGGTTCTATCTGGGTGAAGATCTGTTTTGAGATATGGGACTTTTTTTTTTTTTTTTTTTGACATTCCAGCTAACAAAACAATTAAATCCAAATATTTACATTTACAGCTCAACAAGGTCTGAACTTTAAGGTTACTTCAAATTTACATGATCAAAATTCTGAGAGAATTAGACACTAGCCAAATCCAGATAGAACCTTATTATTCTGTGGAATACTGTTTGGCTTTATGAGGTTATATCAGCCTGATTCTTATTACCTCTCATTAAATAACTAATACATGGTAATAAACTCAGCAGAGAAAGACATTTTGAGCCTATTAAGGCCACATTATGATAATGAATGCTTTTCAATAAGTTTTATTTTTCTGAATTTATGCTCTAAGATCTAAAATACGAAGATATTTCGCTTTTTAAATCTGAGGTTGCTCCTCAGAAGAAGATATTTTACCTTAGAATTTCATCTGCAATTTGAATTTAAAACCATGCAAGTCTGCAAGCTGAACTTCAGTCCCAGTCATTTGTGCCAGAATATTTGTTGTTGTTCTTCTTTCGGCTGTTCCCGTTAGGGGCCGCCACAGCGGATCGTCGGTCCGCATATTTGATTTGGCACAGTTTTTATGCAGGATGCTCCTCCTGATGCAACCATCCCAATTTTATCCGGGCTTGGGACGGGCACTGGGAGTGCACTGTCGTGTGCGATCCCAGTGGCTGGAGTTGATTCCCTGGCTGGGAACTGAACCCGGGCCGTGGCAAAGAGAGCACCAAGGCCTAACCACTAGTCCTCCAGAGACCTTTGTGCCAGAACATTTATATATCAGCGATTAGGGTAAACTTATACAAATTATATACAAGTGTTATTTTCTCCTCTAGCTTCAAGGTTGTTCTTTTCCGACAGAATGTAAACAGAACATGGACATAGATTGCTCTGTGCTGCCTACGTTAAGTTCATCCTATTTTCATCTTGGATGATGATTGGCTGGCAACTTTATAAAACCTTGTTTATCTGTGAGGTTGGAGATAGAACTTTTTTTTTTTCTTTTTTCAAATATTACACCAACAACTTTAGAAAAAGTTAAAAAAAAAAAAAAAAAAGTTTACAACATGTCTTTGAGCTAGCACAAATAGGTCAGGGTCTAAGAATACTATCAAGCCGTAATCTTGTTAGAGAGGTGTTAGCACAATAAAAGAAAATTGTACATCATTCAGAACATGTGTTTCATTTGTCAAAGAAACAAGTAAACCTTGATGGATCAGATGAAGTAGATACTTTCTCTAAAGCATGTTCTCTCATATATCTAATGAGCTCAATTTAAAGATGACAGTGATTTAAAAAACGCAACCTACATACAGATGTGGTTCCATCTGCTTTCTGGTCCAATCTGCTATCCCGAGAGCACCTTGCTGCAAACGTGACAAACTAAATGACAATCGGCTTTTTATTACAATGAAATAATCACATGGCGTGGCATATGATGTTACTGCACATGCACTGACTTTTTTTGTGCCTAAGACCCAGACTCACCCGTTGCCATGATTAGCATGAAATAAAACAATGAATTTAGGTTTGTTATCATCTGACCTGTGAAACACTAATATATAGTTCCTCACACCTCTGTTGTTGTGTACCTGGCTGATTTGGGGTACAAAATTAATTTTGGGACTAAAATGGATATTAGATCATTAATAAATGAAAGAAAAATAAGAAATACATTCAAATATGATGCTAATTTAACTATGATTTCCACATAACAACAGATTATCATTCATGCACATGAACTCATCAGTTTCTCAGTAACATTACAAGCAGCTTTTTTTTCTCTCTCATTAACTTCAAGACAGAAAAAAAAAGGAGAGACTGGCGAGAGAACGTTTGTGTATAGCTACTATAATGAAAGTGATACTATAATGTAAGAGGAATTAACTTTCGTGTTGGGAAACTTACTGACTTTTACAAACTTCCATAAATGTTAAATAAACATCTCTAACAGGAAGCTTCGCCATTTCAATGATTATATGCTTTTTTTGTTATACAGTATAACAACACATTTTTAATCCCTTTATTATTAGGCAGGAGCAAATCAAATCAAATTTTATTGGTCACACACACAACCATACACAGTACAACATGCAGTGAAATGTCTGGTGACAAAGTTTACAGACATAAAAACAGAATTTACTTACACAGAAGTAGAAAAAGAAAATATATACAAAAAAAATTAAAACATATAAAAGACAGATAGCAGAAAAAGTATGAACTGTATGTGGAATAAAGTGCACATATGTGCAGCTCTATGTGCAGCTCTATGTGCAGCTCTATGTACAAGATCGAAAATACAAAGATATTTAATTTTGTGGTTAAAAATATTTCTAATGTAATAATGTATTAGAACAAGCCCATTATTATGAACCGTGAATCGTGCTGCTATGGAAAATTAATCAACACATTGCAAAAACCGACATCTTACCAAGTGAAAATATCTTAAATATAGCCAAATGTATCTAATAATTCCTATTATAAGATAACAATTAACCAAATATAAGATTATTAAACGTATTTCGAGACATATTTACTCATTTTAAGTTGTACATTTCTTATTGTATTGACAGATAATTTTGCTTCTTTCTAGAAAAATTAGCTTAAAATGAGAAAAATGATCTGTCAATGGAAAACTCTAGAAATAGGTGTAATAATCTTATATTCTGTTTATGGTAGACTTATAATCGGGAATATTAGATAAACCTGACTATATTCAAGATATTTTCCCTTTTTTTGCAGTGCACCTTCTGATTTGAGAATTCAACCATCTTAGCAAATAGAAATATCTTGAATATAGTCAAATTTGTGTGAAATTATCCTATTATAAGATTACACGAAACCTCAGCCTATTTCTACCGTTTTTTTTATACTAATTTAAATCTTAAAATAATCTTATTCTATTGGTGTATAATTTTGCTCATTTTAAGCCTTTATGTCTGTGTTGAAAGCTTGAAATCAGTAACAACATGTCTAAAAAAAAGGTTTAATAATCTTATTTGGTTTAGTGTAGTATAAAAAATTTGGTTTAGTGTAATCTTATAAAAGATAATACTAGGTAAATTTGACTATATGTTTTCACAAGGTATACCACAGAGTGCTGTGGTATAATTATTGTAATTAACGCACATGCGCTGTAAAGAAAAACATGATTTAACTATTCGGATGTATCATCGTAGCTCATGCCACATGTAGGCTCAAAACTACCTGTTGCATATATATAAGTCTACATGATCCTGCAGTAAAAGGAGGTGGAGTTTAATGTACGCTGCTTAAAATTGCAGCAGTTTAAAATGTCTTCTCACATCTCTAAGTGAGGGTTGAAACATCAGGATGTAGTCCCAAAGCTTAAATATTCTGCAATCATATTTCACGTTATATTTTCATATTTTATACTGCATTTGAAATGATGTTTTAGCTAGCCTGCGTATTTTCCACGAACGTCCTAGGTTGTAAGATGTTTTGATCTAATAGCCCATTCTTGGCATGTTTCTAATGGCATTTGTGTCAAAGAAAGTGCTTTCTTCCTAATTTTTTAAATGCTCATGTCGATCAATATTTTTAAAAAATACTCTCACACTGTCTCTCACTCACTAATGCACTTGTGAATGCTTGGATAATTAATTCAGTGTATCTATTAGTGCCTATATTGTTGCACTATACTTCCTTGATCCATCGTTTAACCAAGACACTGCAATTAGAAAGATCAATACAATGAAAAATCACCACACACACACACACACACACACACACACACACACACACACACACACACACACACACACACACACACACACACACACTTGTGTTACAATCCTTGTGAGGACCTTCCACTGATGTAAATATTAATGCAGCTAATTAATGCTATGCAGCTAATTCATGCTATGTTTAGGGCAAACATTTGTGTTGATCTGATTAAGTTTTAATTTTGTTGAAATTCTCTCTTTTATTCCTACACGTACTGTATCTTGCACTACATTGTACTGGCACCTCCTGTAGCTGTAGATATTTAGATTGTTGTTATTGGATTGTTTGGATTAATTAGTCAGTCTTATGCTTCCATGAATATATTTATGATGCTTCATCTTTATAAATACGTTCATGGAACCTTAAGACTAATTAATACTTACAAATCGGTGTATAATGCATGTATGAGCATGGGCACTAAAAAGCCCATTATAAGTCATTATAACTTATATATAAAATTATAATAATATAAATGTAACTATAACTGTTATTATAATGAAGTATAGGTCTTGATGTGTCTTTTTAAATGTATTTATAGAACAGTAATACCTGCTTATAAATAACTATAAATGGGGCTATAATTCATTATGAGCATGGGCTTCATAGAAAGTGCTACCGAATTGACATATTAATTATTTTTTAAAGAAAAAAAAAAGTTGATGTTCTGGGATTTGCCAATCCCAATAGGAGTGTTAAAATGCTGTGCCTTATATTTTATGAATGTTTATCCTTACCGTGTAGCAATCTTGGCAGTACACCACTTACAGAACCCAGCCGAGTACACATAAGCTTTTTATTTGGGCTCACGGCCTTGGCACGGTCGTCAGTCAGTAACATAATGTAAAACGTTTTTTTTGTTTCCCAACACAAATAATGTTGCAATTTTCCAGCTTGCTCACCACTTTCTGCTCAGCTTTGACTTGACTATGTTCATGGTCACGCACACAGCTCGGTGCTCAGAGAGAGAGACAAGAAACAGAAAGAAAGATCAGATTTCCCCAAGAACACTCAAGATACAAGAATTGTTGCCTTAGTGAGAGAAAATGTGAACCACACAGCCTTTCGAGGCAAGGCAATAAGACAGTTTTGTGATGTTAACATGGTCAACTTTATTATAATTTCATTGTCTTGTGTATTATAAGTGTATATTATGTTTTATATCTATTCACAGCTCACACAGAGCGGCTAATAATTGAATCACCGTTAACTGTATGCAATTTGGATTACTTAAATTCTGTGTTCTCATGTAATCTTCAATCTTTAGGCAGCAAATGAGGAAGCAAATGACCTTCTTCACGCTGTATCACCTGCATTTCCACTGAAGTCAAAACAACATTCCTACTTTAATTTTAAAATTCTCATGTTGTATTTTCTTTAAAAGATTCCACTTTCTAAGGAGGCTCTAAGGAGGAATATTTAACTTCCACCTTTAACTTGATAAGGATAAGCAATAAAAAGTGCACAGGCTTTCTCCTTTTCTTTAATGCTTCTCCATTTTTAAGATTCCTACACATAGAAGAAATGTGTTACAATTTTAAAATTGTTTTGGAAGAGATGGGTTTAGCTGCACAGTGAGGTTTTATTGTCTCGTGACCTTACACTTGCTTGCTTAAATAAGTACCATTTATTTAAATGGATCCTGCACAAGCCATTTGTTGTTAAAGAGAAAAATCATACCTGGTTCTGTTTTCTTTTCTGCTAAAATGACTGTTGATCACTTTATTGTAGCCATGATAACCACTGATTGCACTCTTTGTCCCCTTAGAAAAGAAATTCATTGAGGCCATAGGCCTGATATATAAATACAGGGTGTGCGCAAAAATGTGCCGCAAAAGTGCATATGCTATTTCCTGTGCATATGGCAAGATTAATAAAAGGCAAAATTGATGTGAAATGTATGTCACATGTACTTTTGAGTATGGAAACACACTTCTTTACTTGTGTGTGTGTGTGTGTGTGTGTGTGTGTGTGTGCGTGTGTGTGTGCAATTTGGTGGCTCCAGTGCCACA